GGCATCGAAGTTTTAACCTATTGAAAACAGGGGCCTCGTTCCTTCTTTAGGGTCCCTTAGGTCCCCCGACTGTATTCGCCCCTCTCGTCGCCGCCGAGTCCTGGGGGCCGCTGGGGCGCATGCCGCGCAGGCCCCCTGCGGGGCAGCCTCTTGGGCCCCTCGCGGGGTCGCGCGCCTTTGCTCCTGCGCGGGCGGGCCGGCGAAGAGCGGGCGGAGCTGGGTCGCCGGCCGGGGCGGGGGCCCGGGAGGCGCAGTGGGAGGCCGCTGCGCGAGAGTGGGAGGCCGCTGCGCGAGAGCCCCTGCGGGGCAGCGTTTTGGGCCCCTTGCGGGGTCGCGCGCTGTGCTCCTGCGCGGGCGGGCCGGCGAAGAGCGGGCGCGGGGCTGGGTCGCCGGCACCAGGGCGGGGTGCCCGGGGCGGAGGCGCAGTGGGAGGCCGCCTGCGCGAGAGCACGGAAATCGGCACGAATGAAAGGGGCACGGAAAGGATGGGCACAATGCCCAACAGCAGTTCCTGTTCAATTCAGTTCGGCGAAGAGCGGGCGCGGGGCTGGGTCGCCGGCACCAGGGCGGGGTGCCCGGGGCGGAGGCGCAGAGGGGGGCCGCCTGTGCGAGAGCACGGAGATACGGTAGAGGACAACAATTACTGAACACTTCCCCTTTCAGGAGGGGAAGAAACACACAGGCACAATTATGAATCGTCGATCCCGAGAACATGCGGGAAAATATGGGAAGTGGGGGGGGGGGAGACGAAAACCCCAAAAATATGGAAACATATGCGGAATCTGTTTATTTGTATGTCTTTATTTGTGTGTCTTGTGGCCCCTTCACCCTTGTCCCCCAAACTCGATGTTAGCACGCGCGGGGGGGACTGCGGTCGAAGTGCATCTCATCAGACCCACCGCCAGCTTTGAACACTGGGGGGAGGGGGGAGGCGTTGGCTGATGAATTTGGCATGAGTGTTCGCTAATGTGTTCCGAGGCCTGTATCGGCACGAGCGAAAGGGGTACGGAAAGGATGGGCACGATGCCCAACAGCAGTTCCTGTTCATTTTGAACAGGACTCGCGAGTTTCTGATAGTAGGTCGTCGGCCTGGCCGGGGAGCGCAGCGCGGCGGACGAGCCGCCCCTGGCCGACGCCCGAAGTGTTTCGTGGCGCCCAGGGCGCCGGGAGCGGAAAGGGACTTTGCGAGGGACCGAGCGGCGCGGCGGGGATCGGCGCGAACGGAATGGGTACGGGAAGGATGGGTACGATGCCGAACAGCAGTGCCTGTTCATTTTGGACAGGACTCGCTGTCCGCGCTGCCGCGGCCTGTGTCCATTTGACACAGAAGGCCACCTGCCCAACAGCGGCCGCTGTTGGTCTGGGGCAGCACCTGTGGTTGGGCATTGTACCCATCTTTTCCGTACCCATGTCGGGCGTCCAAAGGAAAGATTGGCTCGTTGCGGTCGTGTGTCGAGAGCACGCAAGAAGCACCCTGCGTGCCTCCAGGGTGCCCGGGACTCTCGGGCTTCGGTGGTTCCGCTGCGGAGGGCGCGCTGCTCCCGCACCAGGAACTCGTGGTCGCCGAGGAAAAAAATGCACACGTCCGAGCGATGGCAGGGGCGCAGGAGGAGGAGGAGGAGGAGGAGGAGGAGGAGGAGGAGGAGGAGGAGGAAAGGGAGGAGGAGGGGGAGGAGGAGGAGGAGGGGGAGGAGGGGGAGGAGGAGGGGGAGGAGGAGCAGAAATGCCCACGTCCGAGCGGTGCCAAGGCGGGGCGTCCTGGGGTCTCCGGGCCGGGCTCCCCGCGGAAGGCTCCCTGTGGTCGAGCTCCTCTTGCGGAGAGGCGGGCCACGCCTCCGTGCGCGCGTGGGTGCGCTCCGCCGCGCGGCATCGGGCGGCCTTGGGCTCGCCGTCCTGGGGGGCACCCTCGCCGTTGGATCCGGCGCGCCCGCGCCCCCCGATCCACGGACCAGGGATACAGTTCGGGGGAGCGTAAGACCCGGGTTTGCCAGGACTCGGGTTCGCCACCGTTTTTGACGACCGCGCCTCGGATTTTGACGAGGAGGAGTTTCGTGGGATGTCTGCAGCGGGAGGCCTCGTCAAAATGCAGGCTCGGCCTCGTCATTTTTTTGACGACCTCGTCGGGGATTTCCGAGTCCCCTGTACCCAGGTCTTACGTCCCCCTGAGCAGTCGGGCCGCTGAAGAAGGAACCCTTGTCGTTGGGGAGGGGCTCGGGGTTCCTTGATGGTTTTGCAGTTTGCCCTGCGTTTGCCTGCCGTTGTCCATGGGACGTCGAAGTTGAACTCATGGGAGAAAGGGGGCCTCGTTCCTTCTTTGGGGTTCCTTAGCTCAACGCCCCGACTGTACAGTGCCGTTTCTGATACATGCTCCGCGTGCGGATCATGTATTAAAAATGCAGGGATCTAGTAGTAAAAACGAGGAGTTCATGCATACATATATTCCTACATTAATCCTGTACTACAAATCCGATATTTTTAAAGATCCCATGTGTTACAAACTGCCCTGTACGTGTTGGCGTGCGCCCACGTTGCTTCTGTCCGCGTGGCCCTTTGCGCGAGGCAGCCGCCCTCCGGACTGCGAGGCAGTCACGGCGCGGTTCTTCTTATAGGCGCCCGCCAAGCCAGGAGGTGTTCGGAGGCGGACAGGCCTCCCACCCTGACACGTCGATTCAGGAATTGGCCGTTTTCGGTTCGCGAGAGGGCGCCGCGGCCGTGATCTTTGCGGGTCCGGGTCCGTCGGTTTCGGTCCCAGGCCGTTTTCACTGAGGGGAGGTTTACTACAGGGAGGCTTGTCCACCGCCAGGAGGTCTGGAGAAGCCATGTGAAACGTGTCCGCCCATCCAGGAGGTTTGGAGAGAAAGAAAAAAAAAAAAAAAGCGCTCGGTGCGCCATCGGCGGCAGAGGCACCGAAGGGGGGCCCGCCTCCGAAGCGCCCCGCCGCTTTCCGCTGCCTCCTCGGGGGGCGGGGCACCCCGTGGCCCGCGGCGCACGGCCTGGGGTGAGAAGCCCGCTCGGGATACCCTGGGGCATACCCTTGTGGAAGTCGGTCAATGGAGAGGAAGCGCACTGCCTCAAGCATGTTTTAAATGTGTAAAAGATGTTTGACATATGTTTAGAGCATGTTTTACACACGTTCAACACATCTTTAACTCGATGATAGGATTGTTAGAGTGCCCAGTGGCCGACGGCTGGGATGAGCACGCAGAGGTGGGCGACGACTCCAACGGCCATCCTCTGCCGCACGCTCGGGCCGCGGCGCGCCGACGGGCGTGAGGGTGACGGAGCTGCAATCGTTTGCCACGCCAGCGGGGCCTACTTCACGGGCCTCGCGCCGGCGAGGGCCCCGCTGCGGCCCTGCCTTCGAGGGAGAGGCGGGCCGTGGCTCGCACGGCCAGCTCCGCCGTCGCAGGGCAAGCCGGGCACGGCAGCGTCCGACGTCTTAGGTGGGTGTGCAGGATTTCGGCATACCCTTGTGGAAGTCTATCAAATGGAGAGGAAGCACCCTGCCTCATAATTCCCAGATGTCTAAAACATGTTTCAAGCATGTTTTCAATATGTAAAGCATGTTTGAAACATGTTTAGAGCATGTGTTACACACGTTCAACACATCTTTAACTCGATGATAGGATTGTTAGAGTGCCCAGTGTCATGGCATCCACAACGCTCGGGGCACCCTGGGGCATACACCCTGGGTCCCGTTCCGCCCGTTCCCTTCGGGGACAACACGACTCATGACGCCGGGTGCACCCAGAGAGGTCGGCGGATTTGTACAGGCGCGATGCCGCCTTCCTGACAAGCCGCTTGCTGCCTTCCGCGGCGCCGGACGTAGGACACAGGTGGAGAGCAACGGCTCTGGCGGCGGCCACGTCCCCAAGTAGCAGGGCAGCGAGGCAGCGACGGCAGTGACGACGACGATGACGGCGAGAACGGCGTCGACGACGACCCATGATGTCGGCGGCGGCGACCGCGGCGACGACGGCGATTGCGAGGACTGCGGCGGCAACGACGACGCCGAAGACGATGGGGCCATAGCGACTAGCGACGACGTCGACGACGAGGACGAAGGCGAGGAGGAACAGGAAGATCATGCTAAGAGATGCGGTAGAAGGTTATTCCTCTGCATTGGAATCGGAGCGAAGGCGGGGGGAGGCTGAGCCCAGATCGCTGCTCCCCACCTCTTTTGAATACGTTGTGACCAGTGCGCGCAAGATGGCTTAGGCCTCTTGCGCGAGTTTCCAGCTCACATGTTCCAAGCCGCCCGGATTCGGCCAGAGTGCGCGGGGTCCGGGGATCGCGCCGCATCGCGAGGCGCGACCCCAAGCACGATTCGTTCCACCCTGACGTCGCCGACGCATTGATTTGGATTTGGCGACGCGGCGCGGATCGATATGCTCTGGGAGGATTTCGGAGGTCTCGGGAGGTCTCTGCAGGTCTCCAGGGGTCCCAATTGGGGGAGGCTTCCGGAAGCCCTCACAGGCCCGACAGGGCCCAAATGCACACACACACACACACACACACTTACACAAAGAAGATGAAGAAGAAGAAGAAGAAGAAGAAGAAGAAGAGCAATATGCAATGATAATGATACGCTTAATTCATCTTTAAAAACAGTCCAAAAATTGTCTGGGGACGATGTGCTTAAGTGTTTTGGGGCATGTGTTGAGCATTGTCTGGGTATTTGTAACAGTTCGTCCAGAAGTCCGCCTGCAGGAGGAAACGCCCGACCTGATGATACGCTCCAGGATTTCCAGGATACTTCCTGGGGGCCACTGGTTTTTCCCAAACGGTACGCACGGGGCTCCCGCAGCGAGGGCCGTTGGGTGCTCAGGAGCGCTCCTGGAGCGCAACCAGAGCCGATCGCGTCACGATGGCTGCGTTCGTAGCCCCGTGTGCGGACGCCTGGACCGCGCGCCGACCGCGGGCTGCCTCTCGTGCCTTTCCGCCTCCGTCCCTCTCTGCAGCCGCGTCTATGGCTCAGTGCCAATCTCTACTAAGGCCACGTCGGGCGTGCCCCGTTCCAGAAGGGAAGTCCAAAACTAGTCCAAAGAACAGTGTGGGGGGACGATTAGTTGAGCATTCGTTGGCCATTTTTGACGATGTGTTGAATCTGTGTTTTATTTGTCGTCCAAAATCCGTTTGCAGGAGGACATGCCCGACCTGAAGCCACCTCTGGCTCAGTGTCATTCTTCTTTTGGAAGTCGATTAATGGAGAGGAAGCATGCTGCCAAAAAAAATCCAGATGTCTAAAGATTGTGTCAACCATGTTTTAAATGTGTAAACGCATGTTTGAAACGGAGGGGGGGGCGGGGTTTCGAACCCCCCCCCCCTCCCCCCTCCCATGACGGAAGGGGGAAGGGGGGTTCGAACCCCCCTCTCCTCTCTCTTCGGGCCGGCGCCTGCGTCGGCGGCGGCTGGCGGCGGCGGCGGGGACGACGGTTTCCTTGTCTGGGCCGGCGCCGGCGCCTGCGGCGGCAGGCGGCGGCGGCGGGGAGCGTCGACGAGGAAGATGGTGATGGTGGTGGTGGTGGTGGTGGTGGTGGTGTGTGGTGGGGTTGTGGTGTGGGTGCTTGTGGTGGTGCTTGTGGTGGTGCTTGTGTGGTGGTTTGTGGTGGTTGTTGTGATGGTGGTGGTTGGTGGTGGCGGTGGGTGGTGGGTGGTGGGTGGTGGGTGGTGGGTGGTGGGTGGTGGGTGGTGGTGGGGTGGTGGTGGGTGGGTGGTGGTGGGTGGGTGGGTGGTGGGTGGTGGGTGGTGGGTGGTGGGTGGTGGGTGGTGGGTGGTGGTGGTGGTGTGGGGGTGGTGGTGGTGGTGGTGGTTTGGTGGTGGTGTGGTGGTGGTTTGTGGTGGTGGTGGTAGTGGTGGGTTGTGGTGGTGGTGGCGGCGGTTTGGTGGTGGTGTGGTGGTGGTTTGTGGTGGTGGTGGTGGGTTGTGGTGGTGGCGGTGGTTTGTGGAGGTGGTGGTGGTGGTGGCGGTGGCGGTGGCGGTGGTGGTGGTGTGGTGGTTTGTGGTGGTGGAGGTGGTAGTTGGTTGTGCTGCTGGTAGTGGTGGTACTTGGGTGGTAGAGTGTGGCGGTGGTGGTAGTGGTGGTGGGTTTTTGTGGTGGTGATGGTGAGTTGTGGTGGTGGAGGTTGTGGTGGTTGTGGTGGCTGTTGGTGGTGGCTGTGGTGGTGGTGGTTGTGTGGTGGGTTGGTGGTGGTGGTGGTGGGTTGAGGCGGCGGTGGTGGTTGTGGTAGTGGTGGTGGTGGTAATGGTTGTAATCGTCGCTGCGTCTCCGCCGTCGCTGGCGTCAGCGCCGGCGCTGCTGGCCGCCGCCAGCGCCCGCGCCGGCGCCAGCGCCAGGGGGGGGGTTGAACCCCCGCACCCCCCCCTCCTCCCTCGCTGCGTCCCCGCCGTCGGCGCTGCTGGCGGCCGCCAGCGCTGGCGCCAGCGCCGGCGCCGAGGGGGGGAGGTTTGAGTTTCCCCCCCCCCCCTTGGGAAAGGGGGGGTGGGGTTCGGGGGGCGGGGTTTGGGGGGGAGGGGAGTCCCCTTGGTTTCGATCGACGGGCCCACCCCCTGGTTCGAAACGCGCCGCCGAATGTTCCCAAGGCAAGCGCCCGTGAAACGCGCTCTCTCTCTCTTTCTCTCTCTCTCTCTCTCTCTCTCTCACCTGTCCTGGCAGGTCTGCCGGCCGCCTGACAGCGGTGCGCTGGCCCACGGGAGTTGGCCGTTGAGGGTCACGCGGGGCCTGGGGGGCCCTCGTGGCTTGTAGCCCCACCGACCCCCCGCCAGCGTCCGTCAGAGGAGGGCCCTGCCCTGGCGGATCCGCATGGGCCTTCGGCCGCCGGAGACGGGCTGATGGGGCAGGCAGGGTTCTTCGCGATTGCCACCAGCATCATGGCCTTCATCGCCGTGGGCTGCCATCCCCGCCCAGTCTTCTGACTCGACAAGCGGCGCATCTGGGGGGGCCCTCGCTACCGCGACATCTGTGCCAGTCGAGGACGCCTGGCGCCTCTTGTCGGAACTGGATTGGAGAGGACCAGGAACCAAACCCGTCGACAGCATCTACTACCAGGACGTCGTGCGCACCAGAAGCAAGGGAGGCCAGCGCCGACTGCCCGTCGCGGTCACTAATGACAGCCGCGCTCGCCTCGACCAGGGTCAACGTGGAGATCCAATCCAGGCGGCCAAGCGCCACGGGCAGGATCTACCTTGCAGCGTCGCGCGCGGCCGCGCTGGGCCCGCTCTGCGCGAGCGATTGGAAACGCACTTCTCGCGGTGGTCCATCTGTGGCGGGAGGGGGCGGGATCCGACTCGGCGGGCGGCCGAACCCGCCGCGCCCCTGCTCGAGGACGCGCGGGTTTCGAACGCAGGGGGGGCTGGCGGGCCAGCGCTGGAGGCGCGCCCGCGGGCCCCGACGTCGCCGCTGCAAAGCCCAACGGCCGAGGCAGGGGCGCGGGGAGCAGGGCCGTCGGAGACCCGGGCTCCGCGCCAGACTCCCGCGCGGGGCGCGCGGGCGGGCCCCCG